CTCTCACTCCCCCCCCCCCCTTTTTTTTGTCCCACACGGAGGAATGAGGATCAGCAGGCTGCATTCTACCCTGCAACAGCATGATAGTTGCCATTCATTCACACAGAAGGGATTCACAAACCCGCTCACGCGGCGACGCTCATCAATGACGCCGGAACCACTCGAGCTTTAAACAAAAATGTGGATGATCTTCTGCCGCCATGCAGACAAAGGGACAGCACATGCATGCATGCTTGCACACATATGCACACGTTCACTCGTGCGTGGGTTAACTCGCATGCATCAATATACAGTGGAGCTGTACGTTTGCATTAAAAGCTGACTGCTGCGAAAAGTTGGTCTTTAGCCTCTTTACAATCCTTAAATCTATTGGGTCTTTGTAGGATTATCTGAAGATTATCTTTCATTTGTTTATTTGGCGGGAGCGCTGTCTGAGGACATTAGTCTGAGTTTTCCCTGAGTAAACAGGCCTAAAGCTCCTCTTCTTAAGGATCTTCTCCTTAAAAGATGCCAAGAGGGATTCTTCCCCCCTTTTTTGAAGAGGGTAAAATATTTTCTCAGAATTCAACATTCACTCTTTTTACTGCTCTGGTCTACAATGAACAATATCACAGTTTCAATAAAATAATTTAGTCATTCATTTATAGTATAATGAAGCATACAGCGCCTTGAAAAGGTATACACACCCCTACACTGTTTGAGGTCTGACACTTTTTTGTCACACTGTAACACAAACTTTAAGGTATCTTATGTGAGAGACTCATACATGATTGTAAATAATTATCAGGTAAAAGGGAAGTGACTCGTGGTTTACTCACATGTTTCAAAATAAAAATACAAAAACCTGTTAGATATATATTCAGTCTCCCCGTGGAAATGTTTCTGTTAGAGCATCTCTGTCTTTCAGGACATGTCTCTACCAGCTTTGCTCATCTAGAGAAAGATATTTCTATCTGTTTTCCTTTTATTCACAAAAAATAGTTCAGCCTCAGCTGATTGAACAGATTCTCAGCTGGATTCAGGTTTTAGTCTTTAACTAGACCATTTTAAGGGTGGTATAAGCTTTGATCTAAACCAATCCATTATTGCTCTGGCTGTATGTTTAGAGCAGTTTTCACCCTTTATTCGTCCTGCAGCCTTTAAATGTGCCTCCGCTTCAACATGTCTGACTCCAATAGGAGGTCATTCTCAGAGCTTGGCCAATACTGGTGAGGTAGTCCAGTCATTAAAATACAGGTGGCAAAAACAAGGTGAAGATGCCCAACTACGACCTGAAACCGTGAGGCTAATATGATGAGGGAAAGTGTTGATTATATGGTTCTTCTTCCTCTTCAGACTATAAAAACCCTTTTTACATGCCCTGAATTCTAACTCTGCTTTTCTCCTCTGCTTTCAGTACCTGATCAAAGTAAATGAGATCAAGACCAAGAAAGGAGTGGACCTCCTGCAAAACCTGATTAAGTATTACCACGCACAGTGCAAGTAAGTACACCATAATCCCTCCAACACATATGTGCAGCCTGTTACTATTTTTTTAAACCATTAAGTCATATTTCTGACTCAAAAAAAAGAAAAAGGGTCCCTTTCAATGTCTTGTCTTTGGAGCAGATTTGTCTTGTATTGTTCCCAGATATTAAGATGGCTCATAAATCTGAACAGGTCATCATATAGATACACTATGGCAGCTGAGGGGATTTAGCGTTTAAATGTAGTGGGTGCTTCTCTCTCCAGAGCTGCAGCTCACAAAAACCTGTGACAGAATGACAGATTTTCTTCCAGGGTTACCATGTCCTGTCATAACACTTGGACAAAACAATGCACTTCCCAGCTAATCTGTTCAACCTGGGCCTTGAAAGATGGAAAGGCTGTAGGAATGATGGATTAGGGGCATTAGAAAAGCAGACTGAGAGCAGAGGAAAGTGGTCAAAGCTTGAGAAGAAAGAAAAATGGCCCCCTTTAGGAGAAATTAAAGCTATAGCTGCATTATTCTAGGAAGATTTTTCTGGAGGAATTTAGCAGTAATTTCTCCCCTTCATTTCTGCAGCCATATTGGTAAATATAAGGCTGCATTTTATGATAGAGTAGCTGTCAAGTGTGCATCCTTTGCACTTTGAAAGGTAAGCTGGGTAGCGTAGGAGGAAAGATGTTGGCTCATCAATGCAGTGATTGAAAGAAAACGAGCTAAAATAGACGTGGCAGGAAAAGTAATGAGAAGAGGAAGGGAGATGTTCTTTCCAAGAAGAGTCGGGTGGAGGGCAGTCATTAGTGGTGATTTGCTGCTGCAGAACTTCATCGAGGTGTGTACTGCTGACGGATGTGTAATGGATTTCAGAGCGTGCTAAACGCCTCTGCAGAGAGAGAGGTCAAAGCCTGATCTGCTTCCAGCACCAGACGCCAAAGGTGCCAAATAGTGAGAATGAGCTGAGCTGTGCGCTAAATCGCAAACTGTCTTACTTCAACCAGGGATCACAATGTACTACATGACTTTTCATAAAAAGCTGTGTTGTTAATGAATGATCAGGGTCTGAGTGTTGGGGCTTTCTCATCTCTGTTCTCAAGTTTCTTCCAAGATGGCTTGAAGACAGCAGATAAGCTGAAGCAGTACATCGAGAAGCTGGCAGCTGATCTCTACAATGTAAGCATTCATTCCTCCCCCATTATGCAATTTATTTATTTACCAGCAAAAACATCAGCATTTTATTCAAATTAATTTATGTTTAGATATTTGCTTATTATTATTATTATTATTATTTTTTTTTTTACTTTGCTTTTTTATCTCTTTAAATTTTGTCCTTATTTCCTTTATTTTCTTATTTTATATTAAATGTTTTTAACTTTGGCCTTTTTAATCATATTTTACCTTTTTTATATAGTTTATGTTTTTTTACTTTATCTTCTAAGTTTATTTATCTTCTTATGTTTTGTTTATTTTTCATATTTTTTGTTGCATTTCCTTTTTTTGCTTTTAATTTTTTTTTTTCATATAATGAAATCACATTTATATGACTTTTTTACTCATTGACTAAAAATTTACTGACATTAAAATGCAGTAGCCTTCAGCGGTTTATTGATTTTCTTTTAAATGAATTTCTCTCAAGGCAAATGAAAACAGTCTTAATGTCACATATTATTTTGAATCTCAGGCTTTTGGGTTTAACTTGGTCTTAGTTGGAATTTGATTTAAGCTTGTTTTTAAACACAGCTGAATATCGACTCCAACTCACTTAAGACTTTCAAATAAATATATTACAGATCAATCCACTGTATATCATTATTTATGAAAACAAATGTGAACAAAATGATCTAAGGTCCAAACAAAAGCTAAACATCTTCAACAGGCTTGATGAAACACTGTTTATAGAAGACCAGTTTGAAGGATTACAACAAAGCTTGTCTCCATGGTAACAAAATACAAGGGTGGATGGTTTCATTAGTTTTGAACAGTGTTTCTGTCTAAATATGTGACTGAATTTAGATTGTAACCACTTCTAAATGTCTTGTATTTGACTTATAAAGAATTATTACTTTATAAAGAAATGTCACAGTTTAAAATCTGTGGCATTTGCTGTTTTCAGATAAAGCAAACTCAGGATGAAGAAAAGAAGCAGCTGACTGCTCTGCGAGATTTGATCAAGTCCTCCCTCCAGTTGGACCAGAAAGAGGTATGCAGGTCACCTCTTCACCCATAGGGCCAAACTGAAACCAAACTCTGAACAGAGTGGCTATGTGGAACCTAAAAACAGCCACTACAGCTCTGATCCAGCGTTTGGTTTCACCACTGAAGCCAGGCGTACACTGTGCAATTTTTTTCAGTCGTTGCACACAGCTAATGCTCAAACTGTAAGACTAAACCGCAGGGTTAAGTCGTACAGTGTGAGTTCACAGCTCACAATTTATTATCGGCCCGACGCTTTTATGCGATCTACCTGCTCTCACTGTACGACTAAAAACCACGTCGGTCTGAGCTCCGCCGTGTGATGGAGCTGCTCTGTAGCTCTTTATACTGAAGCCGAACAAATAGAAGGGGAATATAGAGCTCTCTATAGTGAAACGCGCTGCCTTGGCGATTTGTGCAATTTTGTACTGAAAGCCCTAAACAGAAAAGGTGACAACATATTTGGAAAAAAAGACATGGCTGAGCAAACGTGGCTACTACGGTCTGTCAATTTTACAGACAGAAAGCTGCTGTGTTTACATCTGAGAGGAAGAATAAAAAGAAGAATCCTTGTTTGCGCATGCGCACGGAGTGATTTGCCCACGACAGTTGGGAGAAAATCAAACATGTTTGATATTCTCCCGACCTCACGATTCCTGATCGAGAGGTGATCGTACCCCCCCGTAAGCTACACCACTCACGACGCATGACCAAACTAAAGATTCTCGCACAACTGGAAAATCGCACAGTGTACGCCCGGCTTTACTTTCCCTCACTCTGGCCACCACCTTATTGGAGCTCATCGGTAGCACCCAGCGAGTGCCTAGTGCTGTACCGTGCTGGTAGCCAGTGTGCTGAAGGCAGGACTGGGGACCATCGTTGTGCCCTACTGGCTATTGTCACACTTTTAAATCATACCTCACAGCATGGGCTGTTTCTACACATTTAACCCACTCAAAAGCATGAAGGGATGTATAGACAATTGTTTGAGTCACACCTCCTATAAGTTTTTACAAGTTGACACCTTGAACTCTGGAGAACACATGTTCACACCCACTACCTTCACTCGAGCCAAATTTTTCACACCTCTCCCTTCTATCTCCCCCTTTTTACTGCTTTCTGCTTGTCTGGAATCAAGTCTAGAAGAGTAAGTTTGAGCATGCTGTGGTTTGACTGTGCAGGGGTGTTGCAGAGCATGCTGTTTACCGTTGTCGTTAGCAGCCATTCTATAAAAAGTGGTTTCCTTTTTTTTTTATAAGATTCCCTTGTGAATACATAAGTAGCATGTTTGAGTCTTTCTTTATTGCATGACTTGATCATCATGTCCAAAAAGTGTTTTTATTAAATGTTTGTGCATATTTGTTGTACGGTTTTACACAGGACTCACAGAGTAAGCAAGGTGGCTACAGCATGCATCAGCTGCAGGGAAACAAAGAGTTTGGCAGTGAGAAGAAAGGGTACCTGCTGAAGAAGAGTGACGGGTAAGCTGCAAACAATACACCACTGAAATATAAAGGACAGCAGAGAATATACATGATAACCCATCTACATGGGACGTTCTCTCACAGATTGAGGAAGGTGTGGCAAAGGAGGCAGTGCTCAGTGAAGGGAGGCATCCTCACCATCTCTCATGCCACAGTGAGTAGACAGACAAACACACACCCGACTAGAGCCGTGTGGACTCACTTAACCCCTCAGGAGTGATAGTGCAGCTCAGAAGGAGAACAGTGTGCACTCTGAGGGTGTGTAGGGCTTTTCCAATCTGGAGGCTGGCACAGTCACATTGACATAGATGGGTTGCCATGGAAACCCCCCACCCTCTGATTCCACCCATCTGCATCCCTCCTTCTGCTGCGCTGGGGTGACTCATCGCTGATCGAGTGCATACTGTTTAAACTGGCACATCTTGAGATTGCTTGTATAGTTCAGCCTGGTTTTTCCTCTTCCATCAAAGCTACTAGGGACTATTTATTTTGCAAAAACACAAATGTATCAAACTATGTCCGGTCAATTTAGACATTTTTATGAGAGGCCTTAAGCAAATAATGATGCTTACTGATGGTTTTATAAATTGACAAAACTTTAGAATTGACAGGACATTCATTTTATTACTGCTATATATAAACCACAAGTGTGGAAAAGAGCCTTGGCAGTTTTGCAGAGTGGGTTAAACCTAGCTAACATAGCCAAAAGGAGAGGGAAAACTAGTTAAAATAGCTAAGCATGTTTAAAAAACTAGTCAACCGACCAAAGAGTTAGAGAAAACCTAACTAGCATAGCCCAAAGTAGAATTACAACTCCCTAAAATAGCAAAGATTTGGAGAAAATGTAGCCAGAGCAACGGAGAGTAGAAGAAAACCTAGTTAACAAATTTACGAATTGAAGAAAACCTAGCTAACCTACCCCAAAGTGGAATTGACTGACTGATGTTGATGCTGTTAAGCCAGCATTTTATAGCAGCTGTTTCACAGCACGTAGGGAAAAGCTTTGTCTAAGTGTAATCATTTTAGCTCTTGTTCACTTAGTAGAGTTTCTTTTTAAGCGTTAAGTAGAAAATTTTATTTACAACTGCTGTCTCACACCTCTTTTTTTATGTGGCACGTGTAGTCAAAAGAAGGAAATGACCTTTAAGTAAAAGAAAAGCCTTTCTGTGTTGGTCTGTTGTGCTGTTAGATTACATCTCAGACACTTTTTGTGGTAGTCAATATTAAACCTTTGAATCTGTCTTAATTTGACATCATTTTTCCCGGCTCTGTGTTTTTTCTTTATTTGAACTCATGGTGACTTTAGTTGAGGGCAGGCCAGCTTGGCTTTGAGGCACAGCTCAGCCTGTTAGCAATTCATTACCACGTGTCCTAGTGTATTCTTTGCCCGGACGCTGGCAGGAGACTATGCTTGGTGTGCTCATGCCAAATAGGTGTTTAATTACTGCATAGTAAAACCCAGATCCTAATTTTTTAATTAACATTTTGGAGCTTAATTTGCAGGGTAAATGGTTAAATGTGTTTAAGCATCTGTCTGCAACCAATATACAAATATCAATTATTAAGCTCTATCCATGTATGAGATTACATCATTTTTTAAATCCCCTTTCTTTCAAGATTGTTTCTAACATTTTATAGCAGCACTCATAGCTTTTTTTTAGCATGTAATCTGCAGTAGAATATCTCTTTATTAAATGTTGGATTACAGGACGCCTTGGCAAAATACCAAGAATTGAGGGTAGAGAGTAACAAAATTAATAACTGAAGTGTTTTAAACTGTTTGGTTCATCATACGATCTTTAAAAATTGTTTCATTTCCAGTCCAACAGGCAGCCTGTCAAACTCAACCTGCTCACCTGCCAGGTGAAGCCAAGCTCTGAAGACAGGAAATGCTTCGACCTAATTTCGCGTAAGTTTTACAGAAACATCTATGTTGATGCTTTCCTGAACAGTTCTGATAAGAAACTGATAGGCCTAATTAAAAACAAATACAACGTATTTATAGACATTTGTTAATTATTGCCAAGATATTTTAAATAGGAAGGAAATTGTTATAAATGTTTTCAGACTTGCAGAGCAATTGGAATTTTCCTGCTGAAAATTAACTTTTTGAGTCATAAGGAAGTCCAAGAGCATATTATTTATTTTTATCCCTTTTGTCAAAAGAATCATTGAAACTAACTTAAAACCTTGAATGGCAAATAAGGGTGTGAAAACAGAACATACACCTTATTTGACCTTTTTCTCACTCTCTTGTCATGTGTCTTTAACACTCAAACGTCAGCCTGCTGCTGCTCATTGTTTCATAAAATGCAAAACAATTGCTTTGCATGCTCAACATCCTGGTCTGTTCTCTCTTCAGATAACAGGACATATCACTTCCAAGCTGAAGATGAACAAGAGTTTGTCATGTGAGTATTTTCAAACTCAGGATGAAGAAAAGAAGCATCAATGGCCATCATGTGAGGAGACCCCCACATGATGGCCATTCTGCTTATTAACCAGGGTTTAGACCCAACTTTTAATGGGGAAACTGTATATTCAACCTTTTAATGACTTTTTCTATTTAAAAATGATTCATAACTGAAAAGGAATCATTTGCAAATTTGTACTCTAAGGTATGCCATAGGAATCAAATAAGACCTAGCATAGTTGCATTAGGGGTGCTTGAAATAAAACAACTCAGATATAACAGATATCCAAGAGGCAGGAACTGGTGATCTTTTAGTTTCCACATTGACACATACTGAAAAACTAAAATGCTTCACACCTCAACATCCCTTCCTCTAGTTAGTATTTAAATGAACTGTTCTATTAATGTAGCCTCGACAAACAATCATCTATTCATTTTTAACAGAATAAACAATTGGTCATTCTGCTCCCTAAAGTTAACATTGGAGAATGTATCTATACACAACCTATCACACTTGTCGCCTGTTCTTTTCAGTTCAATTCAGTTTATTTATATAGCACCAATTTGCAACTCATGTCACCCCAAGGTACTTTACAGAGACAGTTCAACCAGATCATACAGTCAGATTGGTTTGAAGTGTTCTATCAGAAGATAAGCAGCTGATTGCATCAACTTGTTAACTTTAGTGCAATCCCAAAGAGCTTGCGTGCAGCGATAAAAAAAAGAAAAACAGTCCAAAAGAAGAAAAAAATGCATGTCCAAGAAATAGATTATATCTGGAGAGATTTTTGTTCACTATATTAGAAACACAAAACTGATCAAGTGGTCCAATTTTAAAAGAAAATTCAATATGTTGCTGGAAGTTTTAGAGTGGCCTTAAAAGAAGGATGAAGTTCTAAGCCATGGGGTTAGAGGTAATAATAATAATAAAAATAATAACAATAATAATAACTGTTATATATAGTGTATTTACTGCTATGAATCTTAAAGTGCTAAAAAAGAAGTTAAAAGTTGAAAATGGAAACATTAAATGATTAGATATCGACTATAAAACCTGGAAAACTGATTTTATCAGGTCTTACATCTGGCAGGCAGTAGGAGCCAAATCTAGACTAAACTCTCAACTCTGATTCATACTGTGCCTTGTTGCTGGAAAATAAAAGTCCTTCTTTCCTCAACATAGGTCAGCTTCAGTTGCGCATGTATCTTTTTAAAATTGTGCTGCAGCATCACAGTCTTAAAAATTTGATGATGTCTTATAAACATCCCCAGAATGAGCCTGGATGCCCTCCCACCCTGTTTACCAAGCGTGTTTATACCATTGCTACAGCATTTTAACAGCTGCTAGCCAAATATTGCAGCAACAACCAAATAAAGGCTTGCTGATATGTGCTGGATGGCTAAAATTGAACCTCAAAGTGATGCAAAGGAAGTTCATAGAACTGGAGATTTAATTCCCAAATGGGTCAGTTAATCCTTTTAATATGAAATAGTAAAAAAACAATAGTTATGACATTAAGGTTCAAGTGAGATACACCTTGCTGACTTAGCTGAACACTGTGGCTGTATCCGAACGTCCACCCTAACACCTAAATCTCTCGGTCAGAGCGAAGGCTATATGATAGACTTTATAGTGAACACTACTTTTCACTGCTTTTCGCTCCCCGGTGGTCATAGGACTCCGCCTCCCCACACGGTTCCTTCGCCATCTTTGTCATTTTGGTGCTGACAGCGGGACACTTTAACAATAAATCCCATAATGCTTTGTTAGGAGAGCTCTCGCAAAGCATTCCAGGATATATCTGCTTTTCTACTGACCACAGATAATTTCTACTTTTCAAGGTACATTGTGGGAAATTTGAGACCACCACTTTTTCATCCACTGAGTGTTCAGACACTCGTCTAAAATGGCTTAACCACTATATAGTGCCCTATATAGTCAATAGGGTGGATGTTCGGACACAGCCTGTGTTTTTTCTATACCCTTCACCTTGATAAATAGACACTTCAAACCAAGAGTCACACTGTAGAAGTGATGGGAGTTGATGTTCCTCTGAATATGATTTTAATTTCCTCAGAGATAGATAATATGATGCATTCAAAGACTGAATTCCTTGTGACCATAGCTTAGAAATGTGAGATCCACCCTTGCCTGTCTCCCTACAGACTTTTATTAGTAACAGCTTCCTCTGATCAAATGGCTGTGGTGTGTTTTATTTACCAACAGGAAGTCAACAGTTGTAGCTCAGACAGTGTGTGTGTTGTCTTCATCTCTATGTAGGTGTTGCAGCATTGAGCTTTATGGACAGACACCTTATGAAAACATGATTTTAAATCTTTTTTTCTCTCCTCTGGGGTATTCTTCTTCTGATCATGTAGAACTTTGTTCCTGCTTTGTTGCGGTTCACCCTTCACTGTGCTGCTTAACGCGCCCTTTATGCCAAACATGGGGGCTGCATGTAGGGATTTTCATTGAAATACTCCTTATCCAATTTAGCTACTGTTGTGGATCCACCCAAAGCCTGCCGCTTATTGGAAGCATATTAAAATGCACATTATAAGATGGTGAGAAGAACTATTTGGCTCTGTGTCGCTACACCTACAGAGAAGTGGATTGAAATAGCCTGTTTTTCTCACACATACAGAGCTACTCTAATTTAATCCATTTTTGCCCACTCGATGGCTCTTCTTTACAGCTTTAAAGTAGTAGTGGAGGGCAGTCTTATGAAGCCTTTCTGTATATATGTCGTAGTGCAAGTGGTGAAGGGTTAGTACGGTGCAGTGAGCTGTAGGCAGGCACGTTTCAAAGGCAGCTACAGTGTTTCCTGTCTGACTGATTGGTAGTGACCACAGTCCTACGTGGGTGTTTCTGTTTGAGTTAGTCAGCCTTGTTCTCATGGAAAATAACCCTGCAAGCAAAATTGGCTGTCAAGAAGTTAGACTTTTGAATATCAAGATGAGTTGAAATAACTTTACCTCACAGTTGGAAAAAAATATCCTATTTCTTTTCACAGACAATTTATGCACTTTTTCCTTGTTTTTCAATAATAGATTTTCTAAATATCAATATTAGGGGTGTCATTTGGAAAGAACTTGGCAAAGTACATGTATTCCTATAACCATTTTTTACCTTTAAGATCCTTTCAGCCTTATTTTTAATCAGTGCCAATATCTAGCTTGAAATATCACGATATTGGTCATTTGAATCCATATAAATATTGTCAAATAAAATATTTATTCAGTTTATTTCTTACACCCCTATTAAATATCCTAGAAGATAATTTCACCTCTTCTGTTTGGTCCCGATATCCAGCCTTATTCATCACAGCTGCATTACAACTACATATATATGTTTATGTGTGTGTGTGTATGTATGTGTTTAAATGGATTATTGACAGAATGACCTTAGTAGTAAAGTTCTGGTTGAATTGATCATTGGTGTAGTAACAGTGGTTGGTGGTGAAAAAAATAGTGTTTAGGTCGATATGATTATTTAGGTCATTTGAATTGTGCTCGTTATGTAGAAATAGTTTTGATACAAAAAAGTTTTATCCATAGTGTGAGATTGTTGTCAGATCTGCATGTGTTAGTGTGACCACCTTTTTTGTAATATTTTTTATTATCTAACTACATTGCTTGAAAATGCGAAAATCCTCCTACAAAACTCTTTGCTCCTACTACTCATTGCAAATGCAATCTTGGTAGATCACTATGGGGCCAAAATTGTTGCTTTATTATTTACAAATGTGTGTGGAGTACATATTTTTAGATCTGAATACAGATCTGTGGATTTTTTTACACATTTACAAATTTCAGTACATATTTGTAAATCTGAATACAGATCTGTGGATTTTTTACACATTTGCAAACCAGATTACACACACACAAGTAGTTTTGCACATTGCAGATTGTTTTACAGACACACAAATCTCCTCACACATTTACAGTTTTATTTACACATTTTCAAATCCCACTGCACACACACAAATCGAGATACAGATACACAACTCTCCACACACATTTGTAAATAATAAAGCAACAATTTTGGCCCCATAGATCACCTACAACACGTCCGTTAATTGCATGTGCAGTATTTTTTATTGTGGAAGCAATAGTCCTTATTATTATGGATGTTAGTAGTTCGGGGCTATTGCATTGTGGATCGCTAACAATGCACATTATTATGCAAACATAATTCTCACTGTGACACATAAGGTTGTGCAGCATCATGCTGTGGGGATGTTTGCCTTTAGATGATGGGAAGATGAATTTAGCTGAATAGGTTTGAATTGATGTTTATCTTCATAAAAAAATCACTATATACTACGTATAACTCCTGTTTTGCAGATGGATCTCAGTGTTAACTAACAGCAAGGAGGAGGCTCTAAACATGGCTTTCCGAGGCGAGCAGAGCAGTGGCGGGGAGGACGGATTAGAGGACTTGACTAAAGCCATCATAGAAGACGTGCTGCGAATGCCAGGCAACGAGATCTGCTGCGACTGCGGCGCTGCAGGTCTGTGCTGCTGCTGCTGTCCTCAGAGACACAATTACACAGTGCTGAGTCAACCCTCACCTTGTCCAAAAGAAAAGGAGCCAGCCTTCCCTCAGATCAGTTTGCTTTAAATGTTTTATTTAAAGCCACCAGCAACTTTTGCCGTCTCACTGCTCGCTCTGTCCTCTCTCTGTGTCCAACTGCAAATCCCCCCTGCAGTCTTGAATAAACAAGAGTGTGAACATGTGCCCGCTAAAGCTGTTAGCATTCAAGACTCTACTCAAACCTGATCCTCCCCCTCCTTCTTTGCATGAGGAAGCAAAGAGTCAGCACTCAGGAGGCCTGTAGACATTCAGGCTTCTGACAGTTAACAGGCACATTACATGTGTGCATACACACAAATCCACACATGCTATCTGGATAAACACACAGCAGCTTTCTCACTAAAAGGCAGGATTCTGAGCTCTGAAGGGGAAAAAAAAATTTCAGGGCTTAGAGAGACAACATTACATCACTTTGTTACATAAGTCACACACGCCGTCGACCCCTGCGATCCGAGGGGAGGGGAGCTAATTTGTTACGCCTGTGCTTTTGTTTGCTGTCTCCATCAATACAAAAAGGTTTGGGTTTGTAATTGGTTTCAGTTGTGAACAGTCATTTTCTTAATAAAATTCAACCAAATGTTCCTTCTTTGTTTAAAGATTTGCAGCTAGCATCACACTTTGACTCTCAGAGGTCATGACTTTGCTTGTGAAGAAAGAGGTTCTCATTTAGGCAGATCTTTTTTCCAGGATCTCCCTGTGTGTGATTTGCAGCATCAGAGGTCACACCGCAGTGATGCGCTCATTATGCTCAACAAGCTCTTTGTGCCCTATCACCAGCTAGCATCTGGTCGTTGTGTTTATCTGTTCCTCTCTCTTGTTTCTCAGCTTTATCCGCTGTTTTTTGTTTTTGTTTTTCACTGCCCTCAGCCTGCTGCATGACTGAGGTCATAAACGTTGGAACTCTGTAAGATTTAAAGTAGTGAGTTACGCCAGCGTTGCCGATCGATCCCAGCGATTTAAACGCTGCTGCCCTTTGCTTGGTCATAGATTATATAATCGACTCCTTCTTTGTTGCAGGTCTTTATGCTAATGATGCTCCCCTCAATTAGCAGGTTCTTTAACTTTTCAGCTTTCAGCTCAGGAAATGATTTTGATACAGGACTGTGAGGCCAGACATCTGTACTTAAACTTTGCAGATTAACTGCAGTTGAAACAGAAAGATTCATGAAATGCTTATCCATTGCGAAAATCCTTTTTTTCTTTTTGTAACTCATTCATGACAAAGTAAGCATCGTTTTAAATAATAATTCAACCTTCAGTCTGTCTTTTGGTCTATTCATTTATAAAAAAGGAAAAGAAAAGACCAAAAAACATTAAGATTGAACAACAATAAAATATTAATCTGACTGTGATGCAAACAAATTTATTGAGTTCCTGTTGATCATCTGTTGATCCCCATTTTGCTGTTACTATCTCCACAGTATCAGTCTGTTTTTCTCCAATCAGAAACATGATATCTTGATGACATTTATTCTGCTTGATATTGATCTTTTTTTTTATTTAGTATATTTTATTTTAGATTAAGTCATTATTTAGATAACTTCAAATTAGCATGGTTAGTGTGGGCAAAAATCTGTGTGTTTAAAAGGTTTTTGCAGTGCTGGTTGTGCAATTCCAGGGCACATAAAGATTACACAGCTGGAGGGCACATTTACACATCCCACAACTCTGAGTCTGACTAATGGGGGAGGGGAAGGTTATAGATTATCCAAGATATATATATATATTTTTTTTTCTTTCAATTTAATGGATATGTAAGATGTCTGTGCTCTTAAACAATTTCAAAAATGAGCATCCATTTTTTAATTGCTTGTGTGAAATACTCTGTTCCGTGTAATCAAATTTAAATGGTTTGTTCAATTAGCATATATATGTCAGTTTAATATATGAATAAATTGCAGGTGTAGGCCAAACTACGAGACATAGTAATTAAGAGAAAAGGAAAATGGTGGCAGCCGTCCCCAGTGTTTAATAATTCAGGCTCTCCAATCAACTTGGACCTTCTACATTACTTTTTCCAGACACACATTCTCAGTGTGAATTTGACGTATTTTTCTTTTGGAGTTCTTATTATTTTCTGTCCAGTTTTTTCATTGCTTCTTTATTCAGATTTCATTACATATTCTTTACATATCAGGTTTTTCTGCCCAGTCTGATGTAACACCCTGGTCCCTGTCTGCAGAACCAAAGTGGCTGTCCACCAACCTGGGGATCCTCACCTGCATCGAATGCTCTGGGATCCACAGAGAGATGGGGGTCCACATTTCCCGCATCCAGTCCATGGAGCTGGACAAGTTGGGAACCTCAGAACTATTGGTGCGTCACTAACGAATGAGTAGCTCCCCATCTATGGATCACGTGTGTCTTGCCTAATGTTAGACAGGCTAAAGACTGATCCTGTAACAGAATTTGACTCCATCTTTCTCTTTGTTTCAGCTGGCAAAGAATGTAGGGAACAGTAGCTTCAATGAGATCATGGAAGCAAACCTTTCCTCCCCTTCACCAAAGCCCAACCCCTCAAGTGACATGTAAGTACTTCCCAACCAAATGTCCACCTTTATAAAAATAAAATAAAAATTGGGAAAAAAACTTTGCCCTCAGGACGGTGAGGAAAGAGTTTATCAACGCTAAGTATGTGGACCACAAGTATGCCAGGAAGACGTGCACGTCGGCTGCGGCTAAGATGATCGAGCTGTTTGAGGCCATCCAGACGCGGGACCTGCTGGCTCTCATTCAGGTCTACGCTGAGGGGGTGGAGCTAATGGAGCCTCTGCCGGAGGCGGGACCGGTGAGTGGAACCAAAGAATGGCGGAGTGTTGTCCAGAGAGTTTCATGCTGGGGGTCCTGTTTAGTATTATGACTTTATGCTCCCTGCCTACTGACATTTATCCATTCATCCATCTTCTGTCACGCTTAATCCCAAGCGGGGTCGTGAGGGGTACTGTTGCTTATTTCCAGCTCTCTATGGGCGAGAAGCGGGGTACACCCTGGACAGGTTGCCAGTCCATCGCAGGGCAACACAGAGACAAACAGGACAAATACCCTTTCACGCACACACTCTCACCTAAGGGGAATTTAGAGAAGCCAATTAACATAACAGTCATATTTATGGACTGTACAAATGTTGGATTTGCTTTTATATACCCTGTCTTTGGATTCTCCAATCAATGCCATTTTTACCAAGTCTCCTTCATCACTAAAGTTCAGACACTGAGGCGATGGACGCCCATGGCATTTTAAATGAATATTTTCCGTTTGTGACCTCCAACGTGAGTTGTTGATGGACTCCTGGAGTAATTTTGACGGGTTGATCATTTAAGACACATGGCTTTAATGTATTGCAGTTCTAACTGACTTAAGACCCAAAGCCATAGAAGTGTCTTTGTTACCCTTTCCTCAATGATAAACACCATGAATTTGCTTCTCAATTGTAGGGATTATGCATTGCTTTTTAGATCCTTTACCCTACTTCATTTTGTCAGAAAGGTTCTCTTTAAGGAATTTCTTCACTCTTCATGTTAAGGTTAATCAGGCTGGGACTTTTAAGAAGATTAAGGTAAAACATGTGGTAGTCAAGTTATTTTTTAGATTTAGTAGGAATTGTCCATTATTATTTACAATTGCAATATTCATTTGAATGTTGAATTTTGTGCCTAATAACATACTTTGTCTGACATCTAATTAAGCTTGATGATCTAAAGTATATGTAGGTGCGCCTTATGAAACTGAAAAAATTGGGGAATACTTTTTCCACAAAAGCAGATTATAAAATTCAGTTTTTTCCAAAGAGCTTTCCTAAATAATAGTCTTTCTGGACAGAAATTGGACCAAAAGATGTTTTTATTCAACTTCTCTGTAATTTAAACTAGGAATATAGTTATGTGAAGATTAGAGCTTCTTGACATCATATTTAAAGAAGCTTGTTTTGACTTTTTGTGCTGTTTTACTTTACTTTGTAACAACTGGTGTGTAGGAACCCTCACATTAAAATGGATTTGGAGGAATGGCAGGTTGTTAAGCTGGGTGTTGCTGTCTTATGAATTGCGCTAAAAGACCATGTAGACTTAAGAGATGAACCGTTGTTAGGTCTAAAGCTAAAATCTAACCAATTAAAATGTCTAAGACAGTCTAAAGGTCATATATCATACCTTCTGTAAGCTTTTCAAAGTCATCTAAAGATGATATGATGAAATAATGCCAAGGGTATTCATGTTTGATTTAATAACCTTGTGCAGCCTTTAAAAGTTATGTGTGGATGCAGCAACGTCATTAAATGAATGGCATCCAGATAAGAGAGGCTTCTTCATTATTTTCTTCGGGTTGAGCAAAACAACATTAACTAAAAAAGAAAAGATCAGTTGGTAAAGGAGCCTTTTTGGCTCAACATTGACCCAGAATAATATGCGCTCTGCTTCACATCTCCTCTCCCTGATGAGAGAAGGTGGACGATTGTTTATGGTGCAGGCGCAGTGTGGTCAAAGTACCGTAATCTTCGGACTATATAACAATGCGGCTTTTCTATGGACTTTTACAGCTAATGTCCACTAGGGTAATACGGTACCTCCGGAACCAGACTCCGAGAAAGACGGACATTGCGAGCGCAAGACAGTTTGTGTGACACCCTTATTATGGAAAACAAATGTTGAAATGCATATGATGCAGCTTTAAGTTAAAGGTAGTCAGTTTGGCAGTAAACGAAGGAAATAGAACCGCTGCACGTAACCTTGGAATCAACGAGTCAATGGTGAGACGTTGGAGACGCCAGCAGGGAGAATTGTCTCAATTCAATTGTGTTGAAATGTTAATAAATAGGAGCTTCCCTAAACAGTTGTGTCTTTCCCGACAATCCTCTCTGTGCACGAACCATATGGTAATTAAACATGGAAAACCTGCGGCTTATATTCAGGTGCGGCTAATAGTCGGAAAATTATGGTAGATGCTTCCAGGAGAGGGACTTCTTTGGTAGACAATCTTCAAAACAATTTTCCCCAAAAATGATAAAAACAACTTTCTAAGTTGTTCAGGATTTAAATAAAAATGCTGAAATATAAAAAGAACACTTTAAAAAGGTCCACAAAAATAACCTAACCCTAACTATTCAAAAAATGCCCTTTCGTAGTAAATAGAAGAAATAATGTAGGTCATTTCTCAAAACGCTGGTCCTGATAACGTCTCCCTTTGCCTGTTTATTTTGAACACATCAATGCATTTGAGAAATCTATTTGTTTTAGGCGATGTCTGTTATTGGACGGTGTTGCCTGGTGAATGTTTTAGGATCACTTAAAGGTGGGGTTTAGCAATTTGTTGCCAGTATCAAACACGGAGGTGGCTACATTATGAGATTCTGCTCTGCTGCCGATGACTCTTGTGCAGTGTAAAAACTGCATAAAACAATAAAGTATGGTTAGCTTTGATTGGTTTAAAGAGAGGGAAAAATCCCTACAGAGCCAGAAAAAAATCATCCCTTCCAAGTCTGACGATCATTATTTTGACCTTATTTATGCTTCCATCGTTCACTCAGTAAATATCCAACAATATTTCCACCTAAGGCTGCAAACTCTGCAGATCTAAGACTGTTTCATCATTAAGTGAAGTCAGAAAAACCCAACAATGACACATTTTTACCAACGCCTGGATAGAAATGGGTGTAAACGGCTGGAAAAAAGTCTGAGTCATCTGAATAACTAACAGCAGGTGCTGCAAAGCCTCGGCCACTTGGATCTGTAACATCTGTTTCGATTGCTTTATTTCCTTAGATGGTGACACATGTGGGAACTTTGTTTAATCGTCTGTTTTTCTTTAAATCATTTTGCTGCACTGGCCTGTGTTCTCCTGTTTGCTCGCCTTTTGCGAAGCCTCTTTGGGCATCGGATGGAAATGAAACATTGCCACACGTGATGGGATTTAATCCGACTTAAATGGGTCAGCGTTTTACAAAGCTATAAGGGTAGTTTCTCTGATAGAAAAAATTAAAATTAGGTGTGCAACGGTGCAGCAGAGTAACAAGGATAATAGAGGATCTCATCTGGTGACGAAGAGGAGGAGGAGGGAGGGAGCCGCCGCTGCTGCTGCTGCTGTCATCTGCACTGTGAAGTCTGAGTCACCACTATCTGATCTGCTGCTGTCAGTTACTCCAACTGCAGCACAGCAAGATTCAAACCTTTAGGAATGCAAGACATAAAAACGCCTTACACAACATAGAAATATTTATTTTATCTATCACCCTTTGTGCTTCTGAATCTATTATGAGGCAGTCTTTAAAGACAGTGGGATCAATACGGCAGATTTGTGATTTTTAGGAGCCATTTTGTTTACTGCAGTTTGTTTAAATGCTGAAACAAGCTCACACACACACCCACTAACACACACACAGTACAGAATACAGAATGGATGCTGGCCGTTGCTTCATTGTGACTCTGCTGTGTTTGGTGGCCCCCTGCAGGAAGCCGGAGAGACTGCCCTGCACTACGCCGTACGGACTGCAGACCAGACCTCACTGCATTTGGTGGACTTCCTTGTGCAGAACAGGTATCTTTAAGAGCCCTTGAAGGCTTACGTGTGGGGATTGGATTGTCTCTGTAGGAGGAGTGGAGCCATAAGAAGAAAAGCATGTACAAATCATATTTTCTGCAGCAGCAAATTTCATCAGTGTCTCTTGTTTTTGTTTTTTTTTCCGCTCTCTGTTCTTCAGTCTGCAATAAAGCAGTGAAGAGCAGAGGTAGGCTTAGTGCTGCTCTGCTCAGATTCCCACAAGGCAAACAGAAATGGGTCAAGCTCTCGCTCTCTGCCTTAATTTATTCCTTTTTTCCCCTCCAACTGTTTATATCCCCCAATGCTCCAAAGGCCTCCACAGTTGAAAATTGTTAAATAACATCCTCCCTTATTAAATTTGATGCTTAAAATGGCTATTTACAATAATATTTGTCAAATACAATCATATATCAAGCAGAACAGATGAGAGGAATCTGACTGAGTCTCTTCTCTGCAGCGGTAACCTGGATAAGCAGACGGAGTGGGGGAACACCGCCCTGCATTACTGCTGCATGTACGAAAAGCCTGAGTGCCTCAAGTTACTCCTAAGAGGCAAACCGGCCACCGACATCAGTGAGTCACCCTCGTCATCGTCTTCGTCCTCTTGTTCTTGTTGCCCGCACAAGCCTCAAAGTGTTGACCGTTTTCCATCTCTCCCTCCTGCTTCCCTTCCTCAGCCAATCAGAATGGAGAGACGGCCCTGGATGTTGCCAGGCGACTGAGGAACACTCAGTGCGAGGAGGCAGTAAGTGCAGGACGGAGCAGCTGGATATGCTGAACAACAGAGCGCAAAACAAACCCTCCTGTTAAATCTCTGAAAACACACAGAGAACAGCAGCATGAGGCGGGTTAAAGTGGAGGTTTCTGGAGCTAAAAATCAACCAGATAGAATCGATGCAGAGCAGATAGTGAGGTGTTCAATCACAACACTAGATGGCAGTGTTGATTCTGTGTTCAGCCTTTGGGCGACTGGGACAGCAGAGTGGAAGTAACTGGGAATGTGTTTGTTATTAATGCAGATATGAACAAGAAGACAAACAGACCATAATATACCCACTGTGGAATCTCTAATATATCTAATAATATTTTAATATTTAAGCTTTAGACAGCCTTTTTTTTTACATTGCCACCTCCTATGAACAAAATAGACATGAACATTATTCTCATCCATCAGATTTTCCTCTTTTTGTTACAACAGAACGTAATGTGTTCTTTTTGGATTTTATATGATAAACAGGCAGAACTGGGACCAAAAAAAGGTTCCTTTTAATTTGGTAATGGTGGCCCACTCTGATTAGTAATGCGACATGTGGAGACACACAGCATACCAGAGGATATATCTGCACATTTATGAAGGATGAAAATCATACACAGAGATCAGCATTCTGCTCTCTGTACAAGAAAATCTATTAAATGGTAGCTAATTCTATCTTCTTCTGGCACAGCGATTTTATGGAAATATGTTTCTATTAGTGCATGCTAGGAGCCTATTTCATATCTATGCTTTAGCCTATCAGTATTTTATGACAGGGAAATGTCTCCTAGTGAGGCCTATAAATAGGGTTCTCATAACTCTATTAGTTCTGCCTGTGCTAACATTCATTCATTTATTGCAAATAAATGAATGCAAATATATATTTAGATTAAATTATGATGGCCTTGGACTGGCCTGGAAATGGCCCAATGGGTATTGCCTGACAGCCAATCCAGACCTGTGCACAGGCACACAGTAGTGCATGGTTGTCCCCTTATCTCTAAATTAGTAAATAGGCTACAACTATTAGCTTAAAACCCTACAAATCATGCCTTTATGAAAGAGAGAGTCAATTATTTTTAAGAAGCTACAAACCATTTAGTAGCAGGTGAAACAGGATGCTATGGGCATAACTATTTGGTTTCACTTTTACAGGACAAGGTGGTCAGAGTTAAATGAACAATGGACGGAGGGTAATACAGAACCTGTCAGGGGCTGCAGAAGATTTAAAGCTGGAGCAAACGTTCACTTTACAGCAGAAATGCAACTCTAAATACAAATCCAGAACTACAATAGAAGGGTCCAGATCAGGGGTCTGCAACCTGCAGCTCCAGAGCTGCAAGAGGCTTTTAGGACCCTCTACAATGGCTCTTAATAGTGGCTAAAGTTGAGCCAACTAATAGGTTTTAATATAGTTTATTAATAAATAACAATCCTTTTTAGCAGGGTTTTTTTTAAGATTTGAATTCAATTTTCATTACAGAATGACATTAAAGAATTAAAAAAATATACTTTTAGATTTATATATCTTGTCATTAGCTTGGAAACTGTTTTATTTTTTCATATTAAATAATATCCTTTAGAATAAAATCTAAAATCAATGCTCCTTCTTTATAAAAGTTTTATGTTTTGTCCTTTCAAAAATCTAAAAGCAGCAAATAAACTGTTTTTCAAGATGGCAAGATATTTTCTATTGTAAATATTCAACAAAAATTAAGTTAAGTTATATTTCATTTAAAGGCCATATAATATTCTGAAGAACTATTTTTAAGCCAGGCTTGAGGTTAAATGGCTCTTTAGATTAGAAATGTGGCAGACCTCTGGTCTAGATCAAAGCAAATGTGTGTGTCTAAATGACCTAGTTAAAGTCCGCATCTTGATGCAGTTAGGAATCTGTAGGAAAGGCAGCATCTTCAGCTTCTACCTTCTATATTTACAAAGCTGGTAGTGACCATCAAAGGACTTCTAGCTGTAATCAAAGGAGTACGTCTTGGAAGTATCGACTCTGTAGACCACACCTTTTAGGCTTTGTAGTTGCCAAACATTTTTTAAAAATCAGGCGTTTTTGTTTCCACTTGTTAAATCCCCTTTCAGCAAAGGAGGCGCAGCATTAGATCAGAACTAATGGGTTCAAAAAGCAAAGTGGTTCAAAGAGATTTTAATTTTCTTTTCTATAATAGAAATGTAAAAAATCAAAGACTGAGTCAAATTAAATCAAACAAATTTAGATTTGCTGATCTAGATTCCCCACTTTGACTCTTAAAGTCCTAATATCTCCTCACAGTTAGGCTCTACTTTGTTGATCTATAACAGAAATCCGACTTAAATACAATAAAGTCAGCATATTTATGAACAAAGTGTGCATTTAAAGTGGTATGGCAGCCTTTGACCTCACATGACCTCTCATGTCTGATTTTTCTGAATATAAGCAGGGTTGAAGGTGAAGCAACTAGATTTGTCTTTCCGCCTGTTTCAGCTTGTTCAGGCCGCAGAGGGGAAGTTCAACCCTCACATCCACGTGGAGTACGAGTGGAGCCTGCGACTGGAGGAGATGGACGAGAGCGACGACGACCTTGATGATAAGGTGATGACCCAGGCAGGCTTGTTTTCTGGGAGTTTCATGGTTTGATGAACCTTTAATATGGAAGAAGTCCTTCATGTAACGAAAGAATTAACTTGTTTAGAAGATGTTTACAGTATAAAAACAATTGTACGAGTTTTGTTCATTCGTTTTGGACATAACGAGTGCTGCAGGTTGCTGATCTATCTCCCTCTGCCCGTGTCCGTCTCCAGCCCAGTCCCATCAAGAAGGACCGCTCTCCGAGGCCTCAGAGCTTCTGCCACTCCTCCAGCTTGTCCCCTCACGACAAGCTCTCCCTGCCTGGCTTCATCAGCCAGAGGGACAAGCAGCAGCGCCTCTCCTACAGCGCATTCACCAACCAGATGTACAGCGCCTCCACCGACCTCAGCTCCTCCCCCGTGGCCGACGGGCCGCCGCTGCCACCCAGGAACCAGGGCAAAGGTCAGACATGCCGGCTCCGAGGGGCTGAAGGGTCTAAATTTTATCTGCTTTCTGAAATTCAAACTCTAGATCTGCTGGTATCGCGTTTGCAAAATGTGAGCTTGTAATCCACTGTGGTGTTAAAGGTTGTGTGTCCCAAGCCGTGTAGGGATTATAATTCCCGAGAAGACCCGAACATGAATGGATTCATAATCTCTGTTAATATTTGATTATACATCAGAGCAGAATTAGGTGCAGCTTTAGTGTGAAGTTTCCGCTTTGTGCCATCAACATACACATGCACACACACCCTGCAGTGGTATGTGGTTTGTCAGCACACAGATCAGAGGGCGGAAAGCAGGTGTCATTAGGATTACTTATAAAGTAAACTTGAAGGAAAACACCGCCTCAGGCAGAGGCAGCCTGATGAACGTTAGTCGGGCATCAGGTGAAAGAAAGGGACGCTGGAAACACACTTAGTCCAATTATTTTGCTTTGCTGTCTCTGCACTATTACAGTTAGAAATAACACTCCTGCCTCCCTAACATCAGCTTTCTCAGTAACACCCCACAGCTAAAAATGCTGCTCTGGCAAACTTTGCTACATCCATCACAGGAGGCCATTTAATTAGTTATTTCAGCCAAGTTAGAAGCAACCTTTAACTTGGCTTCTGGTTGTAGTTACTACGATTGTCAACACATTTATTGTAGCTTCCCATATATGAATTGGTGTGGCAGCTTTTATATAAATATTTCCTTAGACCAGACTTTTTTTTATTACCACCATTAAAACCAAGGCTGCACAAAGATTTATAAATATATGTCTAGAAAAATCTATTTTTTCTTCCTTTTTACTGATTTTCTAATGTTTAATTACTGAGCAGGATATATTACAAAAAAGAAATAAGAAAAAATCTAATTCTTTGGTCCTGTTAAATACTTTAAACTTTACAAGTTTTGCATTTGTGGCAAAACCTGTGGACACCATTGATTTACTTGCTGACAAAGCAAACAGCTAGTGGCTGTTTTACAGCATTATATATGAAATAGACAGTTTTTAAACCTCCAAATAAATAACAAACTCAATAACTTGGAGTCTTTGGCATCTTTTGTTAAAATGAAAAAAAAAAACAAATTGTGTATTCTACACTCAAAACGTTCACACTGAAGGGTTTAGCCAATACATTGATCTGGTAGCATTTACCAACAGTGTTTCTGCTAATCTGAGAAGATCAGCCAGGCTGAAAAATGTCAGATTTTGACCAACTTCTTCAGCTTATGGACAGATTGACAATCTGAGCAAGCGCCATATTAGATCAAATTTAACCAGATGAAGCCTGAGTCTTATCCTGATATGAAAGAAATATTAACTTTACGATTGAGCTTGAACAACCTTCAGTGGAGATTCAGAAAGCAAAACAGGAGCCGTTAAAAAAAAGTTGCAGTGTTTTAATTGTTAAAGTCGAATGCTTTTAATTTCTAATTCCCTCAAACAGGGAGATCAGATCTTCTTTTTCTTTTTTGCATTTTCTTTACCATTCTAGCATTTCTAAGTGCTTCTAAAACATCTTAGCATCTGGGATTGAACTCAGTTCAGTCTGTTTGAGTGTGAATTTGCTAAAATCTAATAAACAGCTGAAGTGAGCTGCTAATGTTGGCCTGAAATCTAATCTTAGTGTTGGCTGTCTAACAGTGGACGTTCCAGCCTTGAACTGACCTCTTCTTCAAGTAAAGCAGGCTGAGGTGTGCTTTAAATTTACTCACAGCTCTATGCATGTTGGAAAGGAAATTAGTTCTTCTGGTTTTCAGTCTCAACTACTGAACTTTTCCACATTTTGTGCCGGTGTAACCACAGACTTCACTTTATTTCAGAACTTTTAATATTTTAACCAAAAAGCACAGTGTAATTGTGAGATCGAGAGAAAAGGATACCAACTGCTGCTGCAGTTACAGTTTTCTGTCTGTAGGGGGTGCTATCTTTAGGAGCATTTATAGGGCAGGAGGTTTGAACCCATTCTTTAGAAAATAGCTAATTTTCATAATAATTTCCATGCATATTTTTCCACATGGGTTTTTCAGTCCTAGCTCAAACTCTTAGATGGATTTAGTTCTTGACTTTGACTAGGCTGGTGCAGCACATAGTGACAGTGAATCTCTGGCTTTATGAGGACTGCTGGACAGAGTTCAGTCTTTTCTCGTATCATAAAGGTTACCTACCGGATCTTCCCACATTCAGCTCCCTTTACCTCAAATTTTACCAGAAGAAAAGCATCCCGGATCATGATGAAGTTTTTTCCAACCAGATATACTGGATTTCCTCTGGATTTCCTCTACCCATTTGGTGTAGAGAATACCTATTCTTCACAGAATACCTATTCTTGCTCTTTTCCCATAAACGCCCAGTTTGTGGTGTGCAGGCCTAATCTGCCTGAGCTGTGGCTTTCTGCAGCTCCTCCAGAGTGTGTTTGCACCATGGCAACATGTGGAAATGTTTGAAAAGTGGGAAAATTTGATAAGGTGTGGATAGTAGACCCTTAACTGCTCAAAAGGTTCAGTTGTTTTCTTGGCTTGTTTTTTTTTTTGTTCTTTGAAACTGATGCTAATGAATAGTTGCAGTTTGTTGTTGTAGGGTCATGTTAGCTAGGTAAAAGCGATCTTTGAGACGGTAAGATGCTCAGATCAACCCGCTAACTCTTCAGCTTCTACGCCGTTTTCTTCTTTCTCTGCTTTTTGCTTATCGCTGATAATTTTTTTCATCTTATTTTCCAGCGAGTGTGGGTGTGTGGGTGTGTGTGTGTGTGTGTGTCGGGGAGCAGCTCTTCATAAAGGCAGACTCGCTCAGAGATTCTCTCCCACACTCCTCATCCTCGCTCTGTTTTTCTTTCTCTTTTTTTGTTTCTCTATTCTTTCAGCTCCACACTTGGCATTCCTTGGCTCTCATTCGCACTACGCCACTCTGGCTGGCACCCGACCATACATCAGTGAATATCTTGGTTTAAGTTCTTCACTCCTATTTTCTTCCCCTTCGGTTTTTTTTCCTCCTTTACAGCTCAGATGTGCAGTTCGGAGCCATGTAGGCTCTTCTTCTAGCATGTCTACATTTTTTATAAATCTTTCTGGAGCGATGTTCTGCCATTGCTGAGCTGTAAACCCTTAACCATAGTTGACTGCTCTCTGGCTGAGCTCTCTATTGGCTGCTTTCATCCTACTCATCTCTACATTAGTGACCAGTTCGTCCCATTAGACAGGCTCATTCAGGGATAACCCCCCTCTCCCTGTAAACATTCCGGTTCCATCCTCTTATATTTGTATCCTGACAGTTTTGCTGTTTTGCTCTGACTCCTCCACCCCTCCTTGGGGCTTATCTCTGTTGGTTTGTTTGATCGGTTGACCTCATCGCCTCATGTGTCTTATGTATCGCTCCTCCAGCTCCTCCCCCATCCGGCCCTCCCTCCACACTCACACCAGGAGGCAGCTCTACCCTGTCCAAGAAGAGACCTCCGCCCCCACCTCCTGGACACAAACGCACCCTGTCCGACCCACCCAGCCCGCTCTCTCACAGTCCGCACAGTAAAGGGGGCTCAGTATCCGGGGGTGAGACTGCAAAGCACACGTGAAACAGCAGTTAGCCCGCTGCCAGATGAGGAAAAATAGGAATAAATACAATCAATGTTGGAACCTTAAGTTAAGTTTTTTCCTTTAATAGGGTCTATTAAGAGAAAGCCAGACTTTTAATGTCTTTTTCTTTTTTGGTTGCAATAAAAAAAAAAAAATCCACTCTAGATAACTATTCTGCATTATAATTTTTTATTTTCCCCTAACCTGTAAGAAGATGGGGATATAAAAGGTCTCCTAAGAACAAGGAATGAAGCCATGTCACTTCTATGAAGAGTAGACAGCTTAGTGAAAAGTCCAATCCTATCTGTGTCTGCACTTTGTTGGATTTTGTCTAAAACGGTTCATGTTTTCAACAGTGAAGCAGATCGAGAACACTTTAAAGATAGAATAACGTTTAGCCTGCTGAACTGGAAGCAGTTGTTTTTAATAAACACCCTAAACCTAAGTTAAAATGCATCAGATCCTCACAATTGAGTGATCCTGTATTCTGTAGCTGTTGTTAGCTGGCAATATATTTAGGGGCATATTATTGAAAAGTACATTGAAGTTCAGCTTTACTTTAAACTAGGGGTTTAATGAGTGGGAAACTATGTTTAGAATGATTAGAAGTTGAATTTACTAACAGAGCACTGTCAGACTAGGAATCTTCTTATTGTTGAACGTGTTACTTATCCCCAACTGTTTGTCTCCACCCTGTCTCTCACACACACACACACACACACACACACACATAAACACACACCCAAACACAGAGTAAATAGCAGCCCCTCAGATAACGCAGCAAACACCAGGAGCTCATCACGGAGAGCTCAGCCAGAAGATGCCCTCCCCCTCATTGTTTTCTTTAACCATCACAGCATGTTGATTTGTTTCCACATTTATACCAAATTAATTCCTCCATCCACGCTCTGATGTGGTGTTCAGTTTTTTCCTCTGTTGTTGTGGCCAATGTGAATATTTCAGGAAGCGACTCCACCCCTCCTCCGGTCAGTAAGATGTCCCCCGTGTCCAACAAGTTTGAGGGCATTCCTCAGCAGCAGAGGTAAAACCCCACGGGAACCCAAAGACTCAAATTCTGTGTGTTTTCATATGGACTGAACTTTGATCATCTTAATTTCTCTAGCACTACGTCGAGCAACACAAAGTCTACACTCGGTCCAAGGGTTCTTCCCAAACTACCTCAGAAAGGTACACTCTTTCACTTTTTTACATTTCCTGTACCACAGCACAGGGTTTCTATAGTCTGATAAAACCCTTCCCTTCTGTCTGAATGTTGTGTCCTTCCTTCCTTCCTTCCTTCCTTCCTTCCTTCCTTCCTTCCTTCCTTCCTTCCTTCCTTCCTTCCTTCCTTCCTGTACCCTAACTACTCTCACTCCTATTATCTCTCCTTCTTCCATCTTAGTCTTCTTGCTTCCTGGCCTCCTCCCTTATTTCCTTGTTTTTTCTGTTATTTCCTCTTTATTCTCTCTGTCCTTTTCCTCATTGTTTTCCTCCCTTTCCTTTTCCTTAATGCTTGTTTTCCCCTCCCTTATTAATCTCTTCTTCTTTCCATGTTTCAAACAGGAATCATTTCCTCCTCCCTTGCTTGTTTCATATCTCCATTCTGTCCTATCGTTTTTGTCCCTTCTCTATTTTTCTGTGCTATCTTATGTTTTTCCTTTCTGTCCTTCTCAGTGTCCTTCTATGTCCTTTCGTCATACTTTTGCTCCTTCAGTTCTTACTTCTTTCCTGCTGTCCTTTCTGCCTGTCATCCTCCGAACTGAAAAGAAGAGTTGAGTCTCAACATATTTTAGGTTAAACTTGTTTGGAACCATGAGTCTTTTTCCTAATTTAGCATTTTTCCCTCCAGTGGCATTGAGAAAGATTGACACCATCCACCATCCGTCTGTGGACAAGCCCAGCCTTCCTCCAGAGGTCTTCCCAAAGTCTCCGCCAGCAACTGATGCTGCTCACAAGGCGCCGCTGGCAGAGCGGCCCCAGCTGGGCGACCTGCCCCCAAAACCACAGGTGTCCGAACTTCCCCCGAAACCCGGAGAGCTTCCTCCGAAGCCGCAGCTCTCTGACCTGCCTCCTAAACCTCAGCTGGGAGATCTGCCGCCCAAACCGCAGCTCAAAGACCTTCCCCCCAAGCCTCACCTGGCAGACATCCCTCCTAAACCCGGGACATCTGACGCCACCCCCAGGCCCCCTTCTGGAGATTCAGTACAGAGGCCACAATCGCAGCCTCCCCCTCCACCTCAGACTCAGCCGCAGGACTCGCCGTCACCCAACCAACAGGCAAACATCCCAACTCCATCCCAGCAGGCTGCCGAGGACACTAATGGGACCCCACCAGGGACAGCGGAGACTCCTGTGCCCCTCCCGAGGAAAATCAATACAGTATGGACACCGACTTTGTCTTTTGGTTAACAGAAACTTCCATGGTGTCATAACCCTGGTTCTACCCTAAACCATTACTTATGGAAAGATGTTTTTACAACATTGATTTATCCAAGTTATGCTCCATTTTGGTTTTGTTGTCAAAGTATTACCAATTGAAAACATTTAATCCTTTTTTTCTGGGATCATTTATAGTTTTAAACTTTGCTTGAACAACATTAACATAATTTAACAGGGAAAATGAGACCTCATCAAGTAGGGGTGTAGTTTGAGGATCTGTATGTTAAAAATCAAACAGAACACAGTCCCTTATAAAGGGTTAACACCCTTGAAATTGTTATATTAATGCCACAGAGGTTTGTTTAATTCATTGGGAGTTAAAGTTCCAGAAAAACACAAACTAGATCAAAATCATAAAAAAATATATACATATACTTACACTTTTTATATTTTCTGCCCTTTTTACCTAGATACATACAAATAAGTGTAATCTGCATTCCTAACCTGAGTGGGAATCCAGCTGTTCTGTGAAGCCCCATGAGGTTTGTTAGTGAACAGTAGAGGACGGAAAGCATCATAAAGACAGATGGGGGGGGGGGAAGGTTTAAGTAGAAATTGTTTATTGTTCAATATCCAAACTTCTGAAGCTCATACAGAGATCCATTCATCCATGAGAAAATGGAAAGGTTAGAATAAAGATTATTGATTAGAGAAGCAGCCAAGAGGCTCATGATAACTGGAGGAGCTCAGGTAAGAGAAACGTTGCTTGATACGCTCCACAAATCTGACTTTTATATGGTATGATCATAAAAGAATAAGACACAAGAGGTACTGAAAACAGTTGGGATGTAGAAATAAAAAACAAGCACCTTAACCACATCATCTACAATGGGTTACATGGTGGTGGCAGCATAATGCTGCGGGGATACCTGACCTGAGAGAAAGATAGAAAGAGCTGAAAGTATTCTTCCTTTCCCTCTTTGTCCAGGGGAAGAATAAAACCAGGCGGGTGAAGACCATCTACGACTGTCAGGCCGACAACGACGATGAGCTGACGTTTGCCGAAGGAGAGGTGATCATAGTAACAGGGGAGGAGGACCAGGAGTGGTGGGTGAGTTCCTGTAGAGACTTTCTCTACAGCTCCGGTTAGCTTCCTCACACACACTGCTTTCGCTTTCCCCTTTACATGCCTTCCTTTTCTGGTTTTCTCCTTCCAGATCGGACACATCGAGGGAGAACCTGAAAGAAAAGGCGTCTTCCCCATGTCCTTTGTGCACATCCTGAGTGACTGACAGCCAGACTTGCACTACGTTTCTCCCTAAACTGGGATTTAATGTAAATATCTTAATCGCACACCAGTAACCCCCCGCCTCCCCCAAAGAAAAATAGAAAATAAAGAAAAACCCAGCAGGCTCATCTAGACCCGGATGCCACATCCACGCTGTACAAAGAATGTGTGTATTCCTCCTCTACCAGTATTATCTTAACCCCTATAGCATGGCCGGAGACGGAGCCACTCTAAAAAACAAACCCTAGCACTTACCTAGAAGTCTATGTTTATGCTGTTCCTGTGTATATATGTATGTAAATATATATATTTGTGTGTGAGTGTACATACATGTTTTATTGTACAAAACATGTACCGCTCTCTGCCTGCTCCATCAAGCGTCAGGTTGGTAGAGCGTGAATTTTATCTGTATTAATTTCACCGGCCCTCCAGTAATTATCAACCTATACTTGTGTGGGGGGTGGGGTGGGTTGGGGGGGATAGATATGAAATCGAATGTGAAATAGGTCATGTCATTATTTGTCTTGCATCCCTGTTTACCATCGTAGAGGCAGGAGTCTCCCGCTGAAAAGTATTCTCATTAAGTGTACTCCTTGTTCTTGCTTGCTTTTGGTGTGTTACATGTATTACGGTTGTTTTTTTTTTTTTATTACCGTACAGAAACCTGCTGCTACTGCGTGGTTGGGAAAAAAAAAAAAAAAAACTAACATTCAAAACGCCTGTGGTTCGCTGTAGGTCACTAATTTACTCCTTGTTACACTGTCCATCCGTACGTTTGCTCTGTGTGTTGAAAAACCCAACGCCATCTCAGCTTTTCCTCCACGCTTGGTATAACGACTGGAAACGAGCGGAGTGCAGCGTTTAGACACTCACCTCAGGGTTTGAAGAGCCACTATTAAAACCATAGCAGGACTACACAGAAGGAAAGTATATCCTGTTTTAAGCCACTATCGACTACACGTATGGGAACCTTAACAGGACATTTTAGCAATAACTTGATTTGTTTTAGTTTTTTTAATCACGGCCTAGAAAGCTTCTGTGTTCACATTTCAGTGTCTTGTAAAATCTCATGAACTTGAATTTTGTTTTTTTAAAGTTTGATCTAGTTTGAAAAGTGCATCATTCCTTGTTACTGGATTCAGTACATTTCCAGGTTGCCTGTGAACCAGAAATGTCTTGTAGATGAAGGTTGGAGACCATGTGTTTTCACTCAGTCCTCACTGACCTGAAGTTCTTCCCCATCATGTTAAGGAACAAACCCATCAACCCATTGTATCATTAAAAAGTGCTGTACCGAAACCCATGGGTCATGTGTTTTTATGAATTGGGTTTAAGTCCAAAAGGAAACTGGAACTAACTTTTTGGTATTCGTTTTGTTGCATTAATGATGCACCTTTAATAGACATGAAAAAAAAAAAAGTCTTTGAGGTTGAGTTTTGAAATGGGGCAACTCTGTAGTTCAAAGACCTTGGTATACATCTCTACCTGCCCCCCCTCCCCAAAAGTCAGGAATTTTTTTTTTTTGGTCACAGGACCTATAACCATCCATGGCCCAAGAAGGCTGGATTTTGCAAAAAATAAAAAGTACCTAGTTTCCAAAATGATCCAATTCCAGTGTTAATCTGTTCATTCAAAAGGTTACATATCCTTTAGTGCAAGACATTCCAGCTGGTCAACTTAACTTCTGAAAACTAGATTCCAATTAGAGGTTACAGTGCTCAGACTACAAAATATTTTATAGTTTCCTTAAAGCAAGAAAATAGTCAATTTATAGTACTTCAGCATGCAGGTTAAGTTTGCATTTCATCTATGCACATAATCCCTGATGCTTAGGGTATTTATAGTTTGCTTAATCAGAAGCATCCAAATCATTGCTTAGACTCTCATGCAAGTTTTCCCCCAGTAACTGACTTTATAATTCACTTTAATGCAAATACCACACGCTGCAGAAATGCAAAGTCTTAAGTTGCTAAAATTTTAGTCAGAAGAGTTAAAGTGAAAACCTTTCCCAATGTTTTGCAGGCTAAAAGCTCAAGTTAGCTTAAAAACCTTCCTCCTAAATCTATCCAAGCGATTACTTCAACCTTGGAAGGTAAACCTCACATTTTGAGAATCAAGCAGCCCAGTCTCTTGCTTCCAAGCTTCAAGTAAAAAAAAAAAAAAAGCTACAACTTTGAGATGAGACTTAAACCCAGGTACCTTTACATTGTACAAGTAATTGCAAATAACCCCATTAACTTTTGGTATTTGTGGTTAAACACTGAGCAAACTGAAGTGACAAATTCAGGCAGTTTCACTTTTAACCTTGTCGGAATAACTGGCAACGTTTCCCCCTGCAATGAGTTAGCAATAAGCAATCAAGTCCACAAACAGATTAAACTGAAAGATTTAATCTTTTAACAAATAATTTTACAGTTTACAATTTTTTCCAATAACTGCAGTTTTTCTAATGTAAACAAATAATTCACCCTTTTTACAATTTTGGGGTAATATTAACACAGGATCATCATACACTTTAAAGAAATTATTAATGCTTTTTGTTGCAACACAAACATTACTTTTCTCAAAATAAAAAGTACAGTTGGCCACTAAAACCAACTCATTTAGGCTGTGCCTTCTGAGAAGGCTTAGAGCTTTGGTCCTTCTCCACAGACTTGATCACGCCTACAGCTACAGTCTGCTTCAAGTCTCTGGCTGCAAAGCGACCTGTGAATACAATAAGGAGAAAAGTTAGACAAGGATTTGCATGATTTTCCTTTCAAGCTGCCTTAACTTACCTAAAGGAGGGAAGTTGAAGAAGCTCTCCACACACATGGGTTTTATAGGAACCAGTTTGACAGTGGCTGCATCTCCAGACCTCAGCAGCTGTGGGTTGTCCTCCAGCTTCTTGCCTGAACGGCGGTCAAGCTTCTCCTTCAGCTCAGCGAAGCGACAGGTGACATGGGCTGTATGGCAGTCCAGTACAGGAGAGTAACCCGTTTTTATCCTTCCTGGATGATTCAGGATAATGACCTGCAGGAGATTCAAAGTTTATTTCTTTTCCCCCCATAGCAAAGAAAGATTTTATTTTAACCAACCTGAGCTTCAAAGCTATGGACGTCTGAAGGAGGATCATGTTGGGCATTTCCAGCCACATCTCCACGCCGCAGGTTCTTTACAGACACGTTCTTGATGTTGAAGCCAACGTTGTGCCCTGGTAGAGCTGCATCCAGACCTTGGTGGTGCATCTCTATGGACTTTACCTCTGCAGTCAGCTTGGCAGGGGAAAACATCAGGGTCATGCCTGGTTTAAGGATTCCAGTTTCAATCTTTCCCACTGGGACAGTCCCAACACCTAAAGCAGATCTCCAAGTCAATAAACATATCACTAAATTAAGCTTAATTCTTTAATGCAATGCTCTTGGTGCCGCATTACCTCCAATTTTGTAGACATCCTGCAGAGGCAAGCGTAGGGGCTTGTTAATTGTGCGCACTGGAGGCTTAATTGAGTCCAGGACTTCAAGGAGGGTCTTCCCACTTGAAACGCCTTCCTTTGACCTTACTTTCCAGCCTTGGTACCATGGCATCTGCAAACAGGTATATAAATAAAAAAAAAAAAAAAAAAAAAAAAAGTCCCACCCTGCTACTTTGAACCCAATTTTTTATTTATTTATTTATTTTAAATACACACCTTTTGTGTTTGGGTGATCATATTTTCTCCAGTCCAGCCAGAGATTGGCACAAATGGCACCGCATTAGTGTCATAACCAATCTTTTTGAGGAAGACCTTCACGCCTCTGACCACTTCTTCATAGCGTTTCTGGCTGTATGGAGGTTCAGTCATATCCATCTTGTTCACACAGACTATGATCTGCTTCACACCCAAGGTGTAAGCCAATAAAGCATGCTCTCTTGTCTGGCCACTCCTGGAAATGCCTGCTTCATACTCTCCTTTAGCTGCAGAGACGACCAGCAGGGCAACGTCAGCCTAGGAGATTAAATAGAGGTTACTATAGAAAATACTTTGCAGAGAAGTTGAACCCTCACCCTTATTTCCTTACCTGGGATGTCCCAGTAATCATGTTTTTGATGAAGTCTCTGTGTCCTGGTGCATCAATGATGGTCATGCTGTAATTCTGGGTGTTGAATTTCAGCAGAGAGATGTCGATGGTGATCCCTCGCTCTCGCTCAGCTTTCAGCTTGTCCAACAGCCAGGCAAACTTGAAGGAACTCTTCCCCATCTGGAAAGCAATTCAACCATTAATCCCAGTTCAATATGCCTTTGCAAAAAAACACCAATACAACATTTCCAGTCTTACTTGAGCTGCAGCCTTCTCAAACTTCTCCAGTTTCCTCTGATCGACACCGCCACACTTATAAACAAGGTGTCCGGTGGTGGTCGACTTGCCACTGTCCACATGGCCAATGATGACGACATTAACGTGGGTCTTCTCTCTCGCCATGGTTATGGAAGCAGGCTAAAGAGCAAACCTTGGAAATGAAACCAGCTCAGATGCAACTCACCCTTGCTTTTTTTCACAGTCTTTTGTTAAATGGTTCAGCCACATTCAGCCTGTCTTTATAAGCCGCATCAAGTGGAAACAGGTGTGCAGCTTAATTAGGCCTGATTGGTGTCCATGAGTTCAGGAGGGACAGTGACAGAGGAAAAGGGTGAGGATACCAGAAAAAAGCTGCTGAAATCTTCAAAGAAAACCCTCTTTAAGTGGAAATATAGAAATAAAGGGTTGCTTTGGTGTTCTGATTAGGGAGGAAAAATAGCAATTAGATAAAATAAAAGTGTTAAACAGTACCATGAACATGTTGCTGAAAACACAGTTTTTTTTTAATTTAAAGTATAAGAATCTTATACCTTACCAACAGATATCAAGATGTAAAATTAAACATTTTATAAAGATTAGAAAAAAAAACCCTGTCCCTCATGTTAAAATATTAACTTTTACTTTATAGCCTGATAAATTGTATATATTCTGCAAATATCCCGTTTTTACCAACATAATACAAAAAAAATGTATTCATACATTTTTTGTTTCAATTTGGGAAGGATGAAATGTTGAGCCTTTTTGTGTATAAAATGTCGCTTTCCTTTATCTTAAACACTCAAAATCAATAAAATATACATGAAGTGTGGTGTTACATTAAACATCTGAATCATGACATATTGAAATACTTTATGACAGAAAAATTCTATTTTGTCTCCTGCTTGGAAAGAATTTTATCATATTAATGAAACAATGCAAGCTTTTTCTCTGCAGAGGAAGTGCAGTGGGCAAAAGCATAGAGCTGTAACTTTTAAAACATAAGACAATAAGATACATAAACTAAATAAGGGGTTTTATTATTCCAACCTTCAATTTTGAAAAAAAAAAAAATCTTTTTTATCAAAATTTTCATTGGTAATTCCTTTTATGTATGAGGCAAAACACAAAATATCAGGTAGAGGAATGTAAAAATCTTTTTGAATATAAAAGCTTTTTTATCTTTGTAGGATTTACTGATGTTCTGTAACTGAGCCGCTAACAATTATGACATTTAGACAGATAATTAAATGAAGCATTCACAATTGTACACTATTAGAGATGTTAGATTCTAAAGGAGCTTGAACAGTGTTGTATAGTAACGAAGTAAAAATACTTCACTACTGTACTTAAGTATATTTTGGAGTATTTTATACTTTCCAAGAGTATAAATTTTTTTAAGAACTTTCAATTTTACTTCACTACATTTACAAACTTAATACTTTTACTCCGATACATTTTCAATGTTTGGTTTAGTTACTAAGTAAAAAAAAAAAAAAAAACGAGCGAGAGAAATGCAAGTGTTTTGACCCCACCTACTGACTACAAAGTCGGGTCTTGCCTGGGTTTATTCATAGGATACGCCTTTTTCGCAAAGCCAGTCTAAATTTATCCTACACTTGGCTGTTTATATTGTTTTAAGTAAATTTAACCTTCAAAGTTTACCAAAATGTAAAAAAAATATCATTCAAACTGCACTTACTTTTTACTTATACTTTTCACTACATTACTTGAGTACATCTATTTTTACATTCCGTAAAAATTAAAAAAAATATGCACTTGACTTGGTTTGAATTTTTACGGAATAACTTTGACCTTGATGACTGAGAACCTTCATCAGCATCTATTTTTACAGTAATTGTTTTACTTATGAACAAGCCATATCAGACACTTTAAGACTTTTACTCAAGTAACATTTCAGTCAGTGACTTGGACTTTTACCAAAGTCATATTTTGGAGAGGTACTTATACTTTTACTTGACTCCGAGATTTCAGTACTTTATACAACACTGAGCTTGAATATTTTCCTCTAACAAAAAATGACAAAGCTGAAATGTTTATTTATTTAAACTGTAGTTGAAAATGTTTGATATTTGGTGTTTTGCATAAAAGACTTGGAAAATAATCTGATGAAATGTTAAAACTAATAGATTCCATCCTTTTCATCCTTACTGTTTAAATGTACTAAGGGTTTCTTTTATTATTATTTCTTACATTATTTTGGTTGCTATTGAAATATGTACAAACTAGCTAATTTAAGGGATTCTATGCAACACTGCAAAAACCTCAAGGTGTTGAAAGAAAAAAACTTTTTGTCTATATTTAGTGCAGTTACTCTACTTTTGAATATTCAAATATTCATTTGGTATAAAAATGAACAAAGTTACAAATATACAAAGTTGCCTTTTGTATCTCTGCTTCTTTCTGTGTGTCTTCTTCTGCCTCCTTGAACCCCAATCGGCCTCAGCAGATGGCCGCTCACACTGAGTCTGGTTCTGCTGGAGGTTTCTTCCTGTTAAAAGGGAGTTTTCCTCTCCACTGTCACTACAAGCATGCGTAGTTTGAAGGATTGCCTTTGAGTCAATGAGTCGATGCAATCAACTGGTTTAACTTAGATAGAAAACTTTGAATAAGTTTGACTGTATGATCTGGTTGAATTGTAAAGTGCCTTGACATGACATGTGTTGTGAATTGGTGCTATATACATAAACTGAACTGAACTGAATTGAAAATGAATACATCAATAGATACAAAAGTTTTAAATGCCTCAAAACTTTGTTTGAATTTAAACTCGACTAAGAACAAAGTGGAAGACAAAACATATATAGAACTATATGTGTCTATAACAGACTGCCTGTGAGAAATGGCTATAGATCCTTTTTAAAGTAGTGCTTTGTTATTTTGCATTTGCAGTAACCTCTTATCAATAAATGCACACGCCTCTGCTTTTTTAATCCAGTTAAATGTTCAAAGGGAATAAATTGGGCTTGAAGCATCTTCTTTAACCTCTTGCCAAAGACATTTCAGGAGAGTAAAAAGTCTTGGGATATTTGGTTCAAGGTTATTGTTATTTTAGCTGCTCTTAAGATATAGAAGTCCTAATCAAAGCAGATTTAATTATAGCTCTGTTCTGTAATAATCCTAAGGAGGGAACAAATGAAAAGTTTCCTCTGACCTACTGTGGCAGTCCATCATGACATATAATCAAACTCCACTCTGTGTTTGAATAACATTTTTAGCCATTGATACAAGCAATACTACATTTCCACTAGTCATAATCGAAATGAGAAATATCTCAAATCAGATTCATAGCCATTCTTAACTTTCAAATGTCACTTTATATAACATACAATAGTTATACTGGGCAACTATTAAATATATTTAATAACTTAGAAAGTATAACGGATCAGTGCTTATATGTTCCTTTTGTGTGTCAGTCTCTATCTCCTTTCATTCTCAGCAGAAGGCTTTTGGGGGGTTCATTGGAGGTTTCTTCCTATTAAAGGGAGTTTTTCTTCTCCACTGTCACTGCATGCATGCTCAGTGTGAGGGATTGCTGTAGGTTCAATGAAAAAATGCAAAAGAATATCTACTGTTGCCACAAGCTCGTCCAGGAGGAGCATCTCCTGAGAAGTCAATGAATCGATTGGCTGGTTTTCCTGTGATACAAATCTTTTTTTTTACCAATCCGACTAAATGAAATAAATCTGATTGAACTGTCTCTGCAAAGTTTTGTAAAGGTGATGTTTTGTGTTGTGCTGTCTAAATAAACTGAACAAAAATGTTATCAGTGTAGAAGGGGAGTTGTTTTATTCCGAAACCATCTTTAAAGTCTTGGGCAACATTTTTAACTTTGAAAGTTTAAACTTTTTATAATTATATGTTTTGTCTTTCAGGTCCAGATATGGAAACATATCAACCTGGTTTATATTTTTGTTAATGCCTTTCAATTTCAGTTATTTTCTTTCTTCTAAGTGAAAAACATGTTTTGTTTTCCAGATACCTTGGTCTAAGAGCCCATTAGAATAGGACTAAAAAGTGCCACTGCCTAATGAATAAATTATGATTTAAATTATTTAGAGTGCTTCAGTATCAAACAAAGATTGCCGGAATAAATACAAAAAGCCATGTTTAAACCACTCTTTGTGTATGTGAAAATATGATTGCTTCTCTTGTTAAATTATTTACAAACTTCTGTCATTTTCAGACTTTTTGAGCAAAAGAACATCAAACTCATGGCAAAACATGGTAACCATAATATGAAGTGTTCAGGTCTGCTTTGACACTTGAACCTGCTTGATTCTCATTTTACTTTGCTACCTGGGGGAATAAAATCCTGAAGGAGGATGTATGGCTCTCAGCTTCTGACCTAAAGCTCAAGCACAGTTTTTTGTCTAACCAGAGAAAGATCCAAAGCACACCAGCACATCCACTTCTGAAGGACTCGAAATGAAAACATTATAAAAAGAAGGTGATGACCATTCGTGATGGATGAGGAGGAGTTTTTCTTGTGTATATATATATATATATATACAATCAATGGTTTTAACAGTCAAGTAATACAGATTTGTGTGGGATATGTCCACATTTATTTATCTAATTAAATAAATCAAGCTACTTCTCATTTTTGTTTTTCATTAGGGTTTAACATGACAAAACTGTTTTATATGTTTGACAAAACATACAAAACATGTTTTGTCAAACATTCAAGGGTGAATTGAGTCTCCTCCTGCCTTTCTGTCTATTATATGCTAAAACCACTTGCCATACCGGGAGAGGCGGAACAGCTCAGACTCTCCTCCCTGACCACAGTGACGCCGAAGAAGAAACCCGGAAACAGCAGCAGCAGCAAATCGCTCTGCTTCTCCTTTGAGCCGCTGCTTCCAGCGTGGTATCCAGTCCTCGTCTCCTGTGTTTCTCATCGAGCATCAAGGTAAATAAAAGCAACCAACGCCATTTAAACAGATAAAAAAAATGACGTTTACCACTTTTTGGCTTTCTTTTCGGCTTTTTCGTCTTCAGCTTCCCACTAGTTGCCGCTGAGCAAATCTCGTTTTCCTGTTACATTTTGTCCCTCTGAATGAATGAGTCATAAAATGATGTAGGTCTGTATTAAAAACACTGCTACTTGGTGTGATTATCGTTAATTAAAACGACGAAAAAGTGTTATCTTTGGCTCGCCGCATCCTCTACATGTACCGTTAACTTCCTCTTTTCACAGCAGCGGTTTTCTGAGCTAACCCCGCTGCTGGTTTTTCCTTTATTTGGACAGAGGCTTTGAACGTTACACGCTTGACCCATGCCGTGTGATTATAGCCTGGCTGTGGGCTGCTTGTTTGGCCTTTCACATTACTGTATTTACCCAAGTTTAGTCTGAGGCGTGTGCCTCCAATTGAGAGAGCTTTTAGGCAGCAAATGATGCATGTT